TTCATCTCTTCTCAGAGGTACTCCTGGTTTTCTGCCATCCGGGTATCCCATCCAATAGTGAAGATTAATTCGAAGAACGCTACCCAGCCTAATTGTAAAACCAATTTTCATGAGCCGTTCTTATCGCTTCTCCGACAGCCTCCGCTAATTCGTGGGCATGGATTTACGCGGAATCACATTTTGTTGAGAGCTGTATCTGAAAGAGCGACAGGGCGAATTCTATGAAATTGGTCTGACTGCCATTGGGAAAAGCTCCCATTTACGACAAGCTGCCTAAACTCTCTTCCAGGAGATTTTCTTTATTTGGCCTATAAATAATAACTGGAACGAAGAGATGACAAAAAGCCGCTTGTTTTCGTTGGATATCATTAACATCGCACAATGCTCGGTACTTGGAATCTCCCGGGGATTAATTGCCAATGAGTGCCACTCATAAACAGAGGCATGCCTCGTTCGCTGCATCAGAAGAACAGGAATCCGTCCCATATTGCCGGAGAATTCACAGAGGCTAACAGTATTGAACGGCGCCTGTATAAGATGCTCAGGTTTCCTCGATTGGATCTTTCGTAGACAGCTTTCCTTTTCCTCCTGGTTGGGGAAGGCCACTGCCAATTTCCACTTCCGACAGAGTCGCTTCGGTTTACGACTTGGCCCCCTAGGAAAGCTGCTCTTCGAAAGATTCAGGGTCCCTTCCGTGGGTCACACGGATTTTGAAGAATCGAGCATCTAGGTCAATGTTCAAAGGAAATAATTTATTTCACAAGAATGCTGGGTTGTGAACAAAACTTTCGCCCCAGACGGGACTCGAACCCGCACCTCTTGCTTTCCGGGCAAGTGCGCTACCAGTTACGCTACCGGGGCACCATTTCATCCCAACTCAGCTTTTCATGGTATAAAAAGTAAGTCAACAGTACCTTATACGCTAGTTGCTCTGCGCGTCCTAGGCTTTGGCTGATATTCTCCATGAGCAGGTGGTCATTCCCTATCCAGTCGCGCAAATGGGAAGACTGAGGGGGCAGACAAATTGTCGTCATCTTCAGCTAAACCCAAATGAGAGACTGAGGGAAATAGGACAAATTCGCGAACAGACAAGAATTAAAGCCAAGGTGTCTTAGTGAAGTGGAGTCATATAGCTTTCATTGGCGGATTACTAGCTCTATGTTGTCATTTCGCATTGGTCAGTGGGTCGTAAGGGTGTTGTTTAAGGCGCTACCTTGCTTGGATCATGGTCAGCCGGCTGTTGCGGGAAGGCCTTCGCCCAAGTGAACAGTTCGTACCTGTAGAGCTACTGCCTCTCGTACATTACCGACGGTCGAAAATGCGTTACCAGAAGGTGGTATTTCCTTTCAGGAAGTCGATTTTGAAAGCTCAAACAATAGGCAGGAAACAAGAGAAGCGCAGTGACAAAGTGAGGAAGTCTGTCTGATAGCGGATGATAGCGCAGTGAGAGGTTGCTAAGGTGACAAAGGGATACATCGATAATTTACACAAATAAAAACACATAATTGCGTCCGAAATGAAACTTAGAGAAGCTGCAAGTAGCGCACGGCTGCCGCCAGCCTGCCGAGGCCGAACATCAAGTGCTGATTGTGTCGGGTTTTGTTGTTGGGTGAGATAATTTTGTGTTGCACGGCGTAAGCCCACGGTCGCAGAGGAAATTGTAGCTGTAGAGACGTGGAATAAGTTCTAGCGTGGTAGCTTCGCTGAAAGCTATGCATGCGGGGCCGGAGAGAGAAACTAGCAAAAGAGCTGAATAATTCAATGTTTGGGAGTTTTCTAAACAATGAGACAATTGAACACCTTCACGTCGTCCAGCGCTGCTGCGCATCCACGATTTGAGTACAGGGCTGTTTTCCCCCTAAAAGGAGATTTCTGGACATCAGCCAGGCAGCAAGCCTGAGGAGCCAGCGACTGCCTCAATACGACAATTCTGCATGGTTAGGCAGGCGACTTCTCATTCAGGCCAGGATGTAGCTCGAGAGGCAACGAAACGCTATGAAACGAATTAAACATCTCGGAGAGCGGACAGGGTTAGCAGCTTTTTTTTTCGCATCCAATTTTCGGTGCGTCAGAGTTGAAAATCTCAGCGAAACCTGCAAGTCTACATGCACGCGTCGCGGACGCTCGCGTCAGCTGGCCGCCGCAGTCACCACTTATCGGGATTTCTGTAGACGCTCATGCTCCGATCGCCATGAACGATCGCGGGACGGCAACAAGTAAACATGTTTTTTCTTACTTTACTTCTTTATTATTTCCAAGAGGGAAGGAATAGACTAAACCGACGCAACGCGGCCGCGACGCGTTCCTCCCTTCAGTGATTTGGAGGTGTCAGTAGAAGTGAAACGACATGCAAGGAATGACCGAGCTTGAAACACATTGCTTTCAGTTCGCCAACGTCTACAAGGCGAAAGACAAGGAGACGGGTGACTTCGTTGCTATTAAGAAGGTGAGTAGATGTTTTTAGAAAAGATTTAGAAGTAAGGGGAATATTAAACATTTTCACAGTCAGTGAAAATCCATTTTTTCTCGGGGCGGGGGTAGGGAAAGAGCACCCCGTTGTGTTCTCTATTACTTGAGATAAGAACGAGAGCGCTCCTGCACGTAATCGATCATTTAAAGTGTACTTTTGATAGGTAGCGCTCATGAGGCGCTTATACAATTCGACCTGCAATCGTCTAAAGAAACGGTCCTGAATCAAGAAAGAGGTTCGGTTCAGCCTAAGGGTGGAGGAGCTCCAGGGGCCGTGTGCAACAAGCCCCGAAGGTCTTCAGGGATATGTCCCCTACGACCTTCGGGGCTTGTTGCATGCGGCCCCAGGGTGGATGACCCTGGGCAGAAAAGTGGATAGGATGTGGGCAGGTAGTGTGGAATGTAGGACATCCACCGGTCCTTATCAAAAGTACGCTCGAAATGAGTCGTTCACTTATTATCTTATCCGTAGTGTTCGATAGCCCAAAGAACTGCTCTCTAGTACTACGGATAAGATAGCAAGGAGTGGCCCCACATAACTGGATTTTCATCTCTCAGTCAAAGCAGGATTCCAGACGGAACGTACTGGATACGGAAGCTCTTCGGAAATGTTGCTGATTGATGTATTCAATTCCCAGTGGTCTTCCTCAAAGCAACAGTCCCAGCAGGGTTTTTACCTTCCACTAATGGTGTGGAACGATGCGCTAGCCCTAGTCAAGAACATAAGAAGTGTGACTGAACAAAAAACTCACCTTGGAAAGCCGCTAGAAAGGGAGCTGAACGGCTTCGAAGTGGGCGTGGTTGGAATCGGCTGCAATCCCCTCGGCCGATTCAACCACGCCCACTTCGAAGCCGTTCAGCTCCCTTTCTAGCGGCTTTCCAAGGTGAGTTTTTTGTTCAGTCACACTTCTTATGTTCTTGACTAGGGCTAGCGCATCGTTCCACACCATTAGGGAAAAACCCTGCTGGGACTCTTGCTCGAAGTATTCACCGAAACATGGCCTCAAGGATGAGAGACTTTGACTCCATCTGCTTCTAGGTTTTGAGTGGCCGTGATTCCATCATCACCGACTAAATTTCGCTCTTATGCCCTCGGAGATCTTTTTATCAATTAATCATTATGGTTTATCATGGTTTACAGGTTGCATCATCCAGTGGGTAGAAAGTGAGTACGGTGAAGATGATGGGGAGGGGAGGGTGATTCCTCTAGATGTACTATTACCTTAAAGGCACACCCCAGCAACGGCCAACACACAAGCTTCCCTTAGTCGATGCAGACACCCTAGAGGACAATTCACAAATGGGCGTTCCCAGTGCGCGGATCAAACTCACCGGGAAAGCGCGCTGGCCCTGAAATCAAATCAAGCTGCGAACTGAACTTTTCTCTGCTTGTCAAACCGTTGTCTGCCGCTTCTCTCACTTTAACGCCTCCTCGCCATTCATACCTCCTCACCGGATTACTGCGCTTAGTCTCTCATTCCCATAGCACAGCTGGCCAGCGAAGTATGAGCCCTTAACCCAAATGTTGACAGGTTCTCTCGTTCTGTCTACTGCCGGCCAATTTCGCGGCAGCACACTCGCATTCGTGTGCAAGAGCCACATCAATGTGATCCTGGGCCTTTAACTTTGAGCAAAAACATTGAATTTGAAAAAATTGTAGGGGGATTCACGATAAGGGCGAAGGTTGAAGAAGGAAATTCAACTTTGTAGAGAGTGACCTTTCCAAGTCTGGTCGCGTCGAAATCCCACCCATTGACGGACGCTCCCCGCCCAGGAGTCCTTAACCCGCAGCGTACTGGCACTGGGGCCGACCGCCGGTAGCCTGCTCCGCGTGCATCGATCTCCACGCTGTTAGTAGATAGAGCGTTAGCGTTCAGAGACCAACATCGAGAGAACCGCATCAGCGCGGAAATCAACGGCAAGAAGGGCTTCCTGTTCGTTCTGGCCCTTTTTTTCCATGTTTTTTTTCTCCTTCGGGCAATCACGACCTATAGCTTTAATTTCAATGGCTCCTTCATCGTACATCCGCTTTCAGAAAAAACTCGAAATAGTTACTTCCACGTCTGCACATTGCCCTCACACGGAAGCAACAAACAAATCAACGGCACTAGCTTTTTTTTCAGCGGTTTTTCCCATTTTGGATAATTAGAATGTGTTTACACAAAGAAAGTCATTTTTCAGATCAAACTGGGCTCGAGAGCCGAGGCAAAGGACGGCATCAACAGGACAGCACTTCGTGAAATCAAGCTCCTACAGGAAATCCATCATGATAATATTATAGGAGTAAGTTCTAAGATCAAGTGTTGGAAATGGATTCGGGATTCAAAACTAGGATAGAATGCAGAAATGCACACAAGAGCGGGGTCCTTTAAAAGTCGCCCTATACATCTTGATCAGGGAACTTGAAGTTGTTGCGTTACTCAGTAAAAATCAATTCGGTATTAGAATTTTCAGGGACCATTTGGGGATGGGTCCCCGAAACCCTACTCCTGTCTACGATGCAATCATCATGGTCAACAACAGGGGATGCGTTCAGAGATAGGGAGGTTTGGGGGTCCATTCCCGGTTGGGTACGTAAAAGCGCCCAGTTGGACGCCAGAGTCGGCTATAAAGAATTTTAGATGCTCGGAGAATACGACTGTGCAATTATTCATTTGTAAGGTCTAAGCCGTATTTTGAATGATCCACGGATCGTTCCCTGACTCGACGCCATGATTCCAAAAGCTCTTCCGATTTCCGCATCCGGAAGAGTATTATGTTTTGCGCTAACCCACTGCACTACCGCCGCTAGCAAGTAACCATTTTTGCTCTCATTATGTCCGATATTTTGTGCGGTGGAGAGTCAACCAGTCAGGTTTTTCCCCGGAAAGATGACCTTTTGTGAAGATTGGGCCCACGAAAACTGGTGCCACCTTATAAATGTATCAGATTTACTGTTGAACTTTATACATAATAGGACCAAAATTTTTAAACTTCTACCAGAAATTGTTCGAAAGTAAAATTACCACGCTCATTTGTAAAAGCTGACAGTAGTCGAACCCGCAACCCTCTCACACCCGGCAATGGCGCTAGAAGTTATGCCACCAGGGCTCCGTTTTGCCCCAGCTTAGTTTTCGTGGTACTTATATTTACCATGTGCGTTTGGGATGTTTTATGCACACATCGGTATAAAATTTGTAAAAACGGTTCCTGAAATTTTTGCTGATCAAAAGGTGAATTTTGGGCTTCTCATTACGTACCTATACGGTGACTACAACGATTTAGAACTTCTATCGAACAATTACTATATAGTGTCAAGGTGAACAATATTTTTCCTGCTCCCGTGCCAATTACTACTACTATTGATGAAATGATTTCTTATTTGATGAGAAAATATTGGATTTTTCAGCTACGTGACGTCATCGGGTCTCGAACAAATATTCAGTTAGTGTTCGATTTCATGGAAACGGATCTCGAGGTGATACTTTTTTTATTTTGTTTTAGTATTAAGTTGTATTTATTTATTCACTTTTGCTGTTTCGCTTATTATTTATTTATTTATTTATTTATTTATTCGTTACTATTACGTTGTATTTATTCCTTCTTGTGAGATCAGACTTCAATGCTGTGCTCTTCAGCACGTGGTCAAAGA